TTTTGAACTTATTTTATGAGTTCTATTTACTTGCAGCTTATGCGCAGTAAATAAAACTTATTGTTTCTCTTAATTTTCTTCGTGCTTAATACCGTTTCTTGATCTAATTCTAAGGAAACTAAAAGAAAAATATTTTTACAAATGTTNATATATATATATTTCTTACTCTATAATGTATTGTAAAAGTAACTTTACTGTCTCTTATGTGTATCATATCTTCCTTTAATTACAAATTTTAGTGTTATTGAATAACAGAAATAATGGCGATATGGCTACTCTAAACAATAGTGTGAACGAATATTGGTGCAGAAAGTAGACAGAATGAAGAGTAATGTAAAAAGTTTTACTACACCAGTTTGGTCTGAAGTAATTCTTACGCCAGCATTATTTGGCGTTAATATACACTAAAATTTTTTACTCGAAACACTCTAAATAACAAAAAAGAATATATCATACCATTTCCCATACAGTTTTTTGCTAAGCGAAAATTGTTCAGTAACTCTACACATCTGCCCTTTGAAAATTGTAAATACACGTCTCACGCTGAGAAGTCAAAAATTTGAGATATAAAAAATATTTTGTGAAGAACTTTAAAAAGATGTAACTTCAGGCGTTATTGTGTAATTCGAGAAATAACTTTTTCTGTCTTGTTAGTTTTTTACCTCGTCGAGAAGTGCTTTTACTACTTCTTTTTTAAAACAAAATATTTCAATTTAAAGCAATATTTTTGACGGTAAGAGCTTACAAACTTCCCCGAATGTAGCAAAAGATTTATTTCTAAAAATCAGATAAAATATTTTTAATTCCTAATATTTTTTATTAATTTTTCGCAATAGTTCAATTAATTTAGGAATCTTTCAAATGCATTATAAGTATTTTAAAAAAACGTAATCTATTTAATTGAAAAAATTTTAATTAAATTCCTTTGAAAATAAGAAAATGAAATTATTTGTTAGAATAATGTACCAGATTTAGAAATTTTGTTTATTTTTTGGTAATGAACGATGAATATGCTTGTTAATTTTCTAAATTCTTCTTATTTGGATCGACGTGAAAGACTTGAGAAACTTTGCAATTCCAGGAAATATCCCACTGTGAAAAAAGCATTTTCTATAGCTATGCAGTTTGTGATAATCTGAAATTAAACCGTAAAAGTTTCTGAGCATCTCGCACCCTTATTAATTTATTAATAAGTTATTGGTTTATTTATTATTTTTTTTAGATTTGATGTGTGTATGGTTTATAATTAGCGGATAACATCTAAGTCTTTCTTGAAAGGGTTCTGTTAATTCATGATGTCCCCAAAGAGTGTCTATTTACTTTGGGCAGGTAAGATTGTGGAAAACACGAAGCAAAGACAAAACTATAAGGATTTGTGCACGTATCGAGAGATTTTTTATAAATGTGAAGAAAAAACTATTGTCTAGACATTTAAAACTTTATTTCCTTGAATAACTTATTTGTGATAACATCAATTTAAAGGGGTGATATAAATTCCTTAACGGTAAAACAAATTCCAAATCTAACACAACTTATAAGCTTATGGTTATTATCAAGCTGAATCTATTTTTGGAATAGATATAATTAGAAACTTGAAATTTGGAATAGATACAATCGACGTCACGCGTGAGTATCGAATCTGATTGCTTGACTCAAGCGAGACATTGCTTGCAGGAATTCTATTGGTGCATATTGGCCCCTCTAGTGTTTCATTTCGAAATATGCACTGCATTGTCAAAAGGAAAAAAAAAGTTTGATCTGTTAATTTAAACTTTCAATTATCAAAAAAATGGAAATGATCGTATGCGTGTAAAAGAAGGTGAAATAAAAATTTTAAAGGCTGATTTGTTGAGAAAAAAATAATTCTGGTTCTGAAAAGAAAATAAGTTTGCCTTTGTAACGCTAAAAACGATAAGCCTATCTTTCATCTCCCCCCCCCCTCCAAAAAAAAGAAGAAGAAGAAAAAAAAACTACGTTTAGCATAGCTCTCCATTCTTTCCGTAGAGGGTTTATAGTTTTCTTTTCAATCCATTTCAAAAAGAATTTTTAAAGCTACCTTTTCTTTTACTATTTTATTTCTTCTTAGCTGTCACACGGTTAGCTTGTTCATGAAAGATCGTCAAAATTTTGATTGGTGGTAAGAGAAAAAAATGTTTACTTAAACAATTCAGAATACATTTGTAACCTGCATTGTCCTCAAGAACAGCACACCAGTTCAAATTTGAGAAAACTAACCAGTCGGAAAGGGATTGAAATTACTAATAATGATTTATTTTAATTATCGACAATATGGCAATTAATTCTGTTAGAGCCATGATGGCTCATGTGATAGAGCAGTCTTCTCCCATTGAGGTGACCCATGTTCGAATGCAAGCCATGCTTGCTCGATATGAATTCTACTCCCGGCTCGCTCCCACCACAGTGCTGGCATAAAACATCCTCAGTGTCAAACGGATCATTGTTTAGATTTCTATTGTCGTTGATCTATCCACATAAGGTTTTTAATGTTTTCCTCTCTATGTAACGCAAATGCGGGTTGGTTAAATCAAAACGTTTTCCACGAGAATTTATGCACCCCAATGCTTGACCCAGGTCTACCTTCGTCTTCTAAAGAATTATAAGTGCTCGATTTAGTGTTAAATTGTTCATAATTGAGCAATCAAGCTAATGGCAAAATGGACGAAATTGGCTATAATATAAAGTGGAATTCTATCTATAGCTATCAGAAAACTATTGAAACTTGTTTTATATTCAGGTATAGAACACCAATTAATATTTAATCACTTCATTTGGCCAAGAAGTAATCAAAACTGCTCTTAGATATGCAGATATATTCTGGTTGTATTTGTCAAGAAACTGTTGAAACTCAAAGTTTTCTTGAGCAGTGAAATCCTGTTGAGATCTGAGTGTTCTAGCTAGTCTGTTTAGTTAGTCGCGATTAATGATATTCTGTATGTGTAATGATAATGATAATTGTGATTAATGATATTGATTGATATGATTGGGGTAGCAGCAAAAGAAATATAAATCCTGCTTTGCTCTGAAAATAAGTGAAATTTGCAGTGTAAATTAAGTCAGTGCTTCAATGAGAGTTTGAGCATTCAGGTAGTCAGAAAATATTCGAAATTTTGATTGAAAGATATCATTGCTACAGATAAAAAAACAGTTATTGTAATGTATAAGAAAATTGAAAAAGTCGGGGCATATACTTCTGCCACAAAAATATCCAAAACGTTGCAATAATGTAACTTTCCTTAGGGTGCAAATAGTAATTCAATGTCAAGAAAATAATTCGCTTACTTGTCCTGTGGACGAAAAGTGCAAATTTGGGGTTGTAAATATGTACGCATCTGACATTGCTATCTAAACAATTGAGAAATTGCTTTCTAATTGTTTTTTACCCTAAATTAAATGATATAGAAGTATCAGATGCGCAAATGACATTCAGGTGCAATTTGAATAAAAAGTGCAAATTTGTACTTTTTGTACATAAAGCCCTTATAACTTCTGAACTATTAATCCACTCATCACAAGATAGGTCTCATTCAACTCAGCATGAAAAGTACATCGAAAAATATCAATTCGATTCTCTTCCTGAAATCACCTCCATTTCCATTCAAAAAGAAAAGCATACAGATGAAAGTAGAAAAGTATTCAGGTTATCATTTATAACAGTATAACAAAGTTTTTTGATAATTTTTCTAATAAAACACCCTTTTTCGCAATAATTACTGATCTATTTAGGATTTTTCTCACTGTTGCAAACCAATAACTTTTTTTAGAGGAAACATAACTTTTTCAGCCAGAGACATTTCAAAGTTAGCGCTTAAATTTTAACAAAAGAAAATTATAAATATTTTTGTACGCAAATTTTTGTTCATATGCTAACATCCACGTGCCATCTTCTTGTCTCTTTAATAAAAAGATAAAAAATGAAGAAGAAAGGAATAATATGTTGAAATATCGCCTATTCTTAAATATTTATTTGCATTCATCCTGTTTTTTCATTTTTATTAATTTTAACTTTTTCATAAATTTTTTATTCATTTTTTTATAAAATGTTTATTTATTATAATAAACATTTTGTATAAAAACAGGAAATGTTTATTTATTATTTTTTTCATTATTGTTTGTAGTTAGAAAAAAAAGGAATAGCCTTAAGCATATTTTTCAAGCGTTACGTTAAAAAAAAACATAACACTCTTTCACAAATTAATATTTTTTTTAAGCATTCATGTTTAAAAAAATATTTAAATTATAGTTTTACACCCTGAACATAAAAAAAAACATGTTGTGTGGACATTTTTTTTTCTTTCTAGAGTTATACTGCAGACTTTTCAGTCAATTAAATATATCAATTAAATAATCCATTTGAATTAAATGCGATTTATTTTGAGAATGACATAGATGATTCTAATTTGAGAAATTAGAGAACTTTAATAGAAAATAAAAAGTATCAAAGATAAATTAAAAAATTAATTAAATTTTAATTAATGAAAAAACCTTCATGCGCTGTAAAAAATTTTAGTACTAGAATATGATTAGTGATCGGCAAAATATGTTACAGTCTCTGACGGTAAAATCAAATTATACCCATAAAACTAAAAGGGCTTTAAAACACAGATCTGTCGGTAATTTGTGACCACTGACCGTAAATTAAACTTACATTATGCCCATAAACATTGCCTTCAACTCCTCAACAACATAATAGTAAATTCATGTCGTTTGAAATTTAGATGATTTGTTTGTCGAATCGAGGCGATCCGTAGGACGAGCGTGAAATGCAGTGCTGACATTTGCCGATGAGTGAGAAAATTTTGTGTTAGTTGTCATAGTTGCCAATGTGGAGGGATGTTCTTGGGTTATTGGGTCATAAATCGAACCCGTGTTCGTAACCTGGTGTCAAAATTGAGTTAGGAAGCTTTAATAAAATGACCGTTTTGCTAATAAAATGACAACTCTGCTACTTTTAGTTTTTAACAGTTAAAGGCACTGGAAATTCAACTCGAAGAAGGAAGCTGGTCGCAGAAACAAACACGGACAACTTTGCTATTCAGTTGCAATCGCAGGTACTGCCCTTAAAAAAAAATTTAATGTATAAAAAAAGGTGAGAAATAATGGCTCTATAAATTAACAACCAATTTTCCAAATTTCATGGAAATTTCCTTAACCCTTTCTAAGGCCGTGGTAAGTATATTTACCACCACTATTACTTTGGTATGCCATTTGTTATGAACTTCAGCTCTGATGAAGTAATATTGAATAAAATTGGTTACAATATGTCTGTTTTTAAGGAATGTAAAATAAGTCTTAGCATATAATTCCTTTTTCAGTTTAGAGTATTTATAAAATTTATTTTACAAATGAAAGGAAATGAAAGTCTCTTACTTTTTTATAACATCTCTTGGGTAGTAGTAAACATACTTACCACAAAAAATTTTAAAATTTAAATTAATTTTATCAACTACTCTAAATGAATTTTTTTTATCGAAATTCAAAAAGCATTTTAATGTAACCTTACTAGAAATAAATGGCCCATTGAAGGGTAAGTGTACAATCAAATTTTCACTCTTCTTACAATCATACATTTATAAATTTTCTTGATTCCTTTTCAGTACTCACAGAGAAGCAAAAAAAAGAAAGGTATTTTCAGTATTTTGCTTCACATCTATCAATGGAGGGTTTCGTATCACAAAGGGAAAAAAACAATGAATGCTTCTTAAGATTTTTGCGGACATTAAAAGAAGTAGACTAACAACAAACATAAATTCTAACGCAAATGTTTTAGAGAATAAGATCCTGTTCCATTCAAAATTAACGTGAAATGTCAAAAAATCTTTCAAATTGATCGTATTTAATGGTATGCATAATACACAGAATTATTGAAATGCACTAAAGCAAAACAATTCTCGAAACAGTCCATTGTAAGCTAGGGGCCTCATGGAGGTTAAAGCTTCACAATTTCGTGCTGTTTTGGGAAAATTTTGTTTAGTATTGTGCATAAACCACTTTTACTTTCATAGTAATCATTGATTTTAATTTGGATTGACTTCAAGCCATCACTGAGCATCAAATTTCAATTCCTAATAATGACAGCTTATTAACCAAAGCACTGAGCCATCGTTGAAATACGCTAATATAGCTTAAAAAGTTAACATAAATTATATAATGAAGAGTACCGACATAGTTATTAATAATATTTCTAATGATATGAGTTATAATTTACAAAGAACAAGAGCAAGAAACTGAAAAAAAGTGAAATGATTAAATAATGACATGATATTATTGAAAGACGAAAAAGAAATATGTATCGATGATGAGCAATCGAGATGAGGACGAGTAAAAATTATTTGATGCTTTTAAATTTTTTCTTTAGGATATTAATTGTAAAATTTTCTTTAAAAGTTTATAGAGGGTTTGATCCATTCTGATCCATAACTTTCAGCTTTCTTTTCTTTTTAAAATTTGAAAGCCCTTCAAAACTTTTGTTGTCCTTTTTTGCTTGGTAATCCATCAAAATCAGAAAAGCTTTTTTTACGCTGCTTCCTTCAAAATTTAAAAAAAATCAAATTGACAAAAGTTTGATATCTTTTTGGTTGGCATAATTCTGTAAAAATAAAAACACAAATAAAGCTTTTTTTAATCTATTTATCTAACATTAACCAATTTTACTATTGTTATAGTTTATATTTAACATATTAAAAATTGGAGCTACAAAATTCTGTCTATCATACATTTTTTTAAAAAATGTTTTAAAACTGTGCCTTTTTTCGGAATAAATATACCCCTTTCCGGATTCTGAATAAGATCAGTATGATTCTTTTATGAATCGTATATAAGATGGAAAAGAAAAGATTTTTAAATCTGTAATCGATTTTTTAAAAATAGGCATATATACCCGGGCAGAAATTGAAATATAAAACTAATAAATCTTGAATTAACAATCAAAATTGCATAATTGTAAAATGACATGCATATCATACATTACATTATTCAACTCCAGCATAAAAAATCTCAAAAATATTTCTGAATTTTCTAATTTGAAAATTCATTCTATTTGCAGGAGAATTCTTGTAACAGTTTTGATAATTGTAACATATTACAAATTTTTCAAAAAAACTTATTTACATGAAACAGGTTTTCAAAATTTTCAAACTTTTTAAACACTAAGATATGAATAAAAAGTATTTTTTCGAAACATTTTACTTAACAAGAATTGTATGAAAACTTTTAAAAAAAAAAACGATTTTTAAATTATTGATCTTTTTAAAGAATAAGCATACATAAAGGAGGATAAGTTTCAATATAAAGCAAATATATTATTAAAATCAGATACCCATAATAGTTAAAATCACATGTATATAGTGCAACAGATAATTCCATTTAAAAGAGAAAAAAAATCCCAAAAAAATTCAAACTTTCTAATTTAAAAGTAAAATCGTTTGCTACAGTTGCGATAAATATCAGATATTACTAAGTGGTTCAAAACACTTTCTTAAGGGAAGTCAGTAGGGCATATACCAATAATGCTAAAACTGATCTTTTTCGATGTACCTTTTCTCAGCATCTAAATAAGATATTGCTTCTGTTTTTTAACAGAATATTTACCTATACATGTTTACACTGCGATAACTGTTAATTCATATCTTTATCAGAATTTTTTTTTACAAATTCATTAACTGAAAATTTTAAATTTCTGAAAGAGTTTCTTCGAAGAATGTTTCACAACTCACAAAGAATTTCTGTTCACGCCAAAACTCTATCTCAGCATACAACTAATATAATTTTAAACATCCCCAAAAAATTTCAGAGCGATATCATATGTAGTTTTTTAGAGAAGGTACATCAAAAAAGGTCAGTTTTATCATTATTGATATATGCCCTACCGACTCCCCCTAAGATAAAATTATTTCTTGTAATTTCTGACGTTTCGAAGATTATTTTGAATTAAAATAAAATTTAACAATAACTTTTTTAAAAAGGAAAAATAAAAACTTACCCAACATTTTTATAATTCCTTTTCTGTTGTTGATCATACTTATTTTCCGGCTTTGTGTCATTTTAACAGAACTGTCTTTCATCCCGTCCATACTCTCACTATCATCGCTGACCATAGCTTTGGCCATTGGATTCGGTAGCCTCAATCTAAGCCCTATTTTCACATATAGAACAAGTATGATTGCTTGCGGGAGCCAGAAGAATATTAACGATGATATGAGAAAGGCGTGACGCAATTTTCTTTTAATGGTACAAACAGCCGTAAACCATAAATCTTCTCCAGACGACCCTCTCATGTGCAGCACTCCAAATTGAAAAGACACCGGTATGGCACACACCAATGACACAATCCACACGAACATTATAACTTTCAACGCTCTTGAGAGGCTTGACCATTTATGCGACTTCAGAGGATGACAGATTGCAATGTATCGCTCAACAGTGAAAGCTGTTATTGTCAGTATTGACGCGTAAGTTGAAGTTTCAGCTGTGAAACCACGTACAACACACATGGCGTCTCCGAATGGATAGGGTTGGGGCACCCATAAGTCATAAACTTCTTGAGGTAAGCTCATAACAAGGAGTAACAGATCGCTAATTGCTAAACTGAATAAGTAATAGTTGGTGGCTGTATGCATATATCGATTGCGATATATTACAACACATGTACAAATGTTTCCTAATACGCCACTGATGAGGAGCACTGAATAGAGGATAGTCATTAAAATGAGCGACCAAGTTATTTCACTGATGTCTTCAAAGTAATTAAAATATGACGAGTCATCTGAGTTATTTTCGTGATTTTCTATGGTGTCTGAAAAAGTTTCATTTTTAATTATAGGTGCTAAACTTAAAAGGTGACTAGTTGCACTTTCAAGCACGTTCATAATGGATGAAATCATCAGAAAGAAAACAAAACAATGTTCCTTGCAGGCAGCAAACCACAGCTTTCTAGAAAATCGTTCAAATTATTAATTGATAGGCGTCACATATTGAAAAAGTTTTCAACATTGTCATCAACATCTTTTTGTCATTCTAAGTATTTTAAAAAGATTATCTACTCACACAGATTTTCCTAAGCAAATTATTCCTGAAATATATTTTTTAAAAATCCGAAAATCATTTATGTTCATCAACAAAATACATTTTTAGATAATAAAAGAAAAACAGTTAGAATAATTTGGTTAATAATTTTTTACACACATGTTTGAAATACTGAGGGTATATTTTCAGTTTCAACAATGAAAAATATTAGTAACGGCCTTAGAAAAAGTCAGATTTAGATAGTATGAGCGATAAATATGTATGAACATAAAAAAAATATTTTTTCTAAAGTATGAACTACAAGTTTAATTACTAAAGCCCATTTCAATTTGTAATATTTTTCTAATATGTCCGTCTTAAATATTATAGATAATTTTACTTATAAGTATATGACAGCAAAAATATAAAAGTCTATCTAGTCTTTAAATTATAGTTTTTGTTTACATTCACCTTCTACTATAGTTATCTAGTTTAAAGTAAAATAGTTACGTTATTTTTTAATTATCGCAAACATTTTCTCAAAAAAACAAATATTAAAAAAAAACTCTTGTGAAAATAGAAAGATAAATGCAGATAAATATTATAGTTAATAATATCCAATATGCATTGATATTCCTCTGATGGGATGAGACTGTGTACTTTTCAAACACTCTCTAAGAATGACAAACTTTTCAAAACCCGCCCTCAAATCTATGGAATGGTAAGACTCAGGAGCAACAGGATATATCTACCCACCATTTCAGTTTACGCCATCTTTCGGCTTTTTGATAAACCCTAAAATCAATAAAAAACATTTCAGACGATTTTGGTAGGTTGTGATAAGGAGCTATATATAGTTATTTTAAGTTCTTGTACGTAAAACTTTCTATCTTGTGTTGTCTATAGGAATATAATTTACTTATCAATTTGGAAAATGAGGAGTTATAAATTCTTTTATGTTCCATATGGAATTTAAGTTTTTGTTATTGGGAACTGAAGAAATAATCATTTCATTAATCTTATCAAAAATTATTATATCTTAATTTACTAAAAATTACAGAAGTTCCCGCGCTACGAACATAAAGACAATTTTATTGCAAAGTGGCTGACAATTTTGTGCAGAAAGAATTTTTTATCATTCAGTTTGATTTTAATGAATTCTTTTGCTCAAGTTTTAAAATTGATATTTTTTGCATGTGCTATCAGCATTTGTCGCTTATTTTTGTAATTTTCAAATATATTTAAAAATATTAACTTATTTCATTCATTGTAGTTTCCAGTTGAATATCATGTATGTATAAAGTAAATGTTGATTGCTATGGCTTTTGTCAATGAGCTTTTCGTCAATTCTCGCCTTTCACAGATTGGGAGACGGTTCGATTCTATGTTTGGGTATCTAAATTAAAAGGTTGTGAAATATCGGGTATCTGATGAGCTTGTGCTATCTGGAATTCTTGTCTCATTAGTTAAGAGTTTTCTCTAAAGTTTTCTCAGTTTCAGAGTTATTAAAGTCCAGGCACATTTGGGGGATTGAGAAGCTTGATGCGGAGGCGAATGATTATCACTATATTTCCTTTCATCTAATTGTGAATGTAGTTTGCCCATGCGCCAGTAATTTCTTCGGGTCTGAGGATTATTCCCAGACATTCTCCAATAGCCCATTAGAGTAATTCTAGCGCGACGTTAGAACTTCCACCTACCTTACATAGGAAAGTTCTGAATCACTGGAATTAAGACATCGATGCATTTACATTTGTATATAATGGATATATAGTTATAAATGTAAGTTGAGGTGAAAAATGGTATTAATTGGTTTACTTTTTTGCAAGAAAATTATAAATCCAAACATTAAGATGTTGATAAATAAAATATATTGATAAATAGTGATAATAGTAAATATGTTATTAAGAAAAAGAATATGAAAATAAAATATCCTAACAACGGAAGAATTTAAATCCAAAAAGAAAAACAATAAATTAATCTAAATTGAAGTTTTTTTTTACACTTTTGAAATATTAGTTTAGATTTATCTTCATTAATTTGAAATTCTTAATAGTCTTAAAGTAATTGACGGCTGAAAAAATTTAGTTATTAAAAATAGGCGATTGTATTTATATAATTGCACTTTATTTCATGTTTAAAATATTGATTTAAGTTTTTTAATAAAAATATTTTAAACTATTTATTACATTATGGTTTTTTATCTGTTTGGCTACATATAGAAAAATAAATATTATTTGTGTATGTAGTATACTTTTGGGGATGTAGTGTAGCTAAATCAGAATAAAAATATTATTTTTCAAATATTGCAAAATGTATGATGTATATTCCATCAGACATTAAATTGCTCATTAAAATAAAGTGAATTTTGTGAACATCTATTGGAAAATATAAGAAAAATGAAATGAATTTATTGTTTAAACTTGTAACAATTTAAAAAGATTTTTAATATTTCCTGCCTTTACTTTTGATGACATGACGCTGCTGGCAAAAAGGTTCCCTGGTTTTGACAGTTTGAAGATAATTATTTTTCTGAATAACATTTCCACCAGCCCTTATTTGTTATTTAAACAATAATATAAAACATTTCGATTTATTCATTTCACCGCTCAAGGTTTAATTGATGATTGAATTTTTCTTTCTTGAATTTTCAATTAATATTTTTAATTAAACTTTAAATGTTTTTACTTTAAACGCTTTTAATGGAACCTTTAGCGCAATTTTCTAAATTAATTATTTCGAACTTACATTAATCTGTACATTTTGCTTTATGGGAATAAATGCTGGGCAATAAATAAGTTACTTGAAATTAAATTATTGCCCTTTGAATGGAAAATGAACTGATATTTGGTGCAATCAATGAAAACAACAGATCTTTATTTAACTTTATCGGAGATCCTTATTTAACTTTAAAATTTCCAAAAGTTCAAACAACCTGATATTTTTTAAAGTCATGAAATAACTTTAACAAAGTTAGACATAGTTTCATTGACTATGACGGATCGGACGCCAAATCCGATCTGAAAATACAAATCCAGAACAAAAAAATTTCATCTTTACTAGTCCATTGAGAAGCAGAAACCGAGGAAGATCAGCAATTAGGTGGTTTTTGCTCGATGGAAGAGGACTGTTATTTAATAAATACTGGAGGAGCCTTGCTGCATATCGAAGGTGGCAAAGACTTCTTGGGCCGGTCTTGGCTTGTGAAAGTCTGCAGCGCTTTTAAAGAAGTTGAACATGCTTTAGAAAAAAAATATTTATATAATCTTTTTTTTTATTCGCAAGATTTCTTAAAACTATTTAAAAATGTCACATTTATACCATATATCTTAAGTTTAAGTATATTAGAAATGGCACTAATATAAATTCAAAACAAATGTAAGCAATTAATTATGTATCGACAAAAGAAATAATTTTTTGCACAAAATAAGATATTATTGACAATTCAAAAAAATATTAGTTTGCAAAGCCTTTCCAGATAAACCAGATTTTATATGCTATCTTAAATGCAAAAATGAAATATATGTATTTACATTTACGGGCATAAACCACGACCTCCTCGTTTTATTGTTACTTAAATACTTTATTCATATATCTTCTTAATATACTGAATTTTAATTAGTGTAACATTAAATGTATCATTAAATGTAATCCCAACTGCAATTTATTTTTACACATGAATTTCTTTAACAAAGTTAAAACTGATGTTTGACAAATGTCGTTCATTCTTACTGAAATTTGAGCTCTCATTAATTAGAAAATAAAGTTGGAATAAATCTGACTTATAAAGTGTTTATTTCCATTCTTTTATCAAATTGTGAGCATATAAATTACTTGAAAATAATAGTTATTCATAAATAGGTGGAGGTAAATTAAAATTATGGCCTTAAACTCAATTTTTTTTTTCCTCCTGAATTTGGTAATCTGTTTAAAAGCATGACATTTAGAAGGGGAAAAAATTGACTTTTACGCTTTGTATAAAAAAAGGTCAAATAGTTCCATCTTCTTTCAAATGATTTTAAAATAATAGCCAACTGACCTTCCCTACGCGAACTCACCACTTTGCGGTTCCACGTTGTCCTTCTCTGCACGAAGTCACTGGTTCGTGGTTAATTATTTTCCTTCCCTGCATGACCCTACAGCTTCGCGGATTCCCGTTTGCTCCAGCTGCCTTCGGCAATATTGCTCTTGAATCCTCGACATTAGTATTTCAAGTGTACATCGGTGGGTTAGAAATTTTTCTTGGACCCATCTGTAGTGGCTAGTTAGTCCACCAAAGCATACTCACCTCTTCACATGGTTTCGCACAGTCATACACCTGTTCGCGTCTTAATGGCCCAATATCCAAAACGGTTATGTTGCGAAAAACACATTATGGCAAATCATGGAGACATGTTATTTAGCATAGCTGCCAATTAGTCCAGTTACAAAGCATCAAAATGAATATTTTTTAGTTTTTTTTTTTTNTTTTTTTTTTTTTTTTTTTTTTTTTTTTTTTTTTTTTTTTTTTTTTTTTTTTTGAGTTGTCACTTTAAAAGTACATGGACTAAATTTGAGACTTCTCTCCTTTTAAAAATGTGTAAATTTAGCATTCGCGTGGTAAATTTGGCATTCTTGTTAAATTTAGCATTACTACCAGTTTTTAGCTAATTACTCCGATAATTGCAAATGCTGAAATGAAATTTTTTTAGTTCTTCCTTACATCTGCTAAGGAACGCATAGTCCATTTTGAGACTTCTTTACTGGCAAAAGCATGGCAAAGAGTTACTGCCAATTGGGTATACTATAGCCTACGTCACAGGTTGTGTTATTCCTACTAAATTTAACCCATGAACGGCATTTTCTGCGAGCCTAACTACAAGCCACAAATAAACAAACGAAGTGTTTGATCGTTTAAATAGCTGCTCGCCAGATTTTATTGCATTATAAAGAAAAGTAATTGATATTCGATTTTTGATAAATAATTGATTTATGTGGATAGTGGCATTTATGTG